GTTATGATATCGAACAGTACTTACTACCTTCGCCTTCATCGTCGAAGCTAAACATCTTTAAACTTTGGTTTCTTTTTTTAAGAGAAAGACTCCATCAGTAGGCTTGGCATTTTTAGATGACGCCTTGGCACTTTTGAAGAATCTAATTCCCGCACTTGGTACATGCTTTTTATGCTGCGATCTAGTTCTTCTAGTTACTCTACTAATTATTTGGAACTAGTGAACATGATGAATCTAGAGATTTGCTTTGCGATTTCAACGGAGATAGTCGTTTGGAAGTATGGTTAGAAAATCTCTAGAGTGTTCAATACCAGGTGGCATAGTGTCTGAGTATAGATACAAAATGATTTCTATAAACGCAAGCTACGAAGGCGGCAATCAGATAGAGTACTGTAGTTGCGCAGTGTCGTTGAATTGCGAGCTATTTGTGTATCTGTCTTGCTTTTAGTGAATTTTCTGAAAGTGACCTAATATCGACATTGGCAGAGATTACTTGTTTGTTTGGAGTTCAATGAAAATTTCATCCAAAGAGAAATTTCTAAATGGAGATATTTTTTTTGCTGGCTTCTTTCACTTCTGAAACTTTCTTTTCTCTTTTTTTGCCTTCATTCGTTTTTTTAGCGAAATCGTTCTCAAATAGTAACCGTGCACATGTCGGATAAGGATGGAATCTCAAGTCGAAGCGATTCAGCTTTAGTTCCGGATAAATCAGATCATGAAAATGTAGGTGTTTCTACTTTTTTTTGCTGTAGAACTTTTTGTCAGTCAAGTTGAAATTTCCTTGCAGGATATTGCTAAGAGATGCGAAGCTGAGATCGAGATGATGAAATTGGAAACAAGCGCCGGAAAGTCAATGGGAGATCAGGTAAGATTCGCACCTGTGGGTTTCGACTTTTTGTTTTTATCTTATACTACCTGTAGTGGAACTTAAACGTTGACCTAGACTTGCTAGGTCTAATCAGCATTCATGTCTCATTTGTGTTTTTCTTCCATATATGTGGAGGGAAACAAATATTTAGCGTCGTCTACCATATATATGTACCTATCAGTGCAGTTACTCTATCTCCTTGAGATTATAAGCTCGTCAGCCTCTGAGTACCTGACTGGTTAAAGTGGGATAGATTTTAGTTGCTGGTTCCATTTAGTGCTTTTCCACCCGACGTCATTGCAAGATGCCCTCACTACGGATTTTCGGATCACTTTTTGCCTGTGGCAAACACCGTGAATTTGGCGAAGAGAACTCGAAGCATCGAAGTTCTGTTAGTAGTAATGTCAAAAGCATTTTCTCTTTTATTCCTATCGTTGTCGCTTAAATGAAGCACTCTTGATATAACCTCTTTGGTTAGTTGTTGTGGTGTCTCCCCCTTCTCTAACAATGGTTTCCTATACATTAATTTTACAGTCGAGACATATGCCTATTTAGAACTCAGGAAATAACCATCATTCAATTTTGCGCAAAAAATTTGTCTCACGTCTTTACATGCTTTCCAGAGAGGTTAGGTTCTGAGTGCTGGTGCACATAGATCTCCTGAACTCTTCAACCTTCTAACAAACTCTTTAGTTCTTGACTTAGTGAGACTAACAACTCCGTCAACTTACATGTCCATTTGAATATCTAGGGAGATAAGATTACGAAGGCAATGGCTTGAACTTCTCAGTTTGACCCGCATAGATGCATACTCAAAAGGAACTAGAAACATATCTCAGTGATACATATTAGCAAAGTAAAACGTATTATATACATTGGATATAACAAATAGTCCGATCATGCAATACATATTTGCCAATTAGTATACTATTTATCCCAATGTATATACACAATTTGATAATTCTCGACTAGCAACTTACTAATTTTCAAAAATTGTGCTCTGAGCCTGTAAAGTCCGTTATCTCTTTTAAGATAGTCCATAATGAACCTTTTTTAA